TTCATTTTTTTCAAAAGAGTTTCCGGATGCACGGATTATACATTAGTATATCTAATTTATGTGAAATCATTCTAATTTGTAAAAACTCATAATAACCCATGGATATGTAACTCATAATGAACTCATGGTGATAGTAAACTTTAGTTATCATATAAATACTAAAAAAATATACTACCAGATAGCAATTTTTTTTTTAAAAGCGAATATGATTGGCTAATTTTTATGAATGAATTCTGATTGGCTAAAAATATATATAAACAATTTTTTTTATATGTAAAAAGTGAATATTTTTTGCTGTCCGGTACATATATAAACAAAAATCAGATTTTTAATTTTTGTTACACAATTTGGAAGTAAAAACATCACTTAAATCAGTAAAAAAATCGGCCCATATGAATTATCAAAGATCGCATGTTACACATGCTAAAAGACACCCATCCCATTCACCAGCGCAAGCTGTCCAACAAAGACCATTTCCATTACAATTATTCCAACATGTTTGATAGGTGGTCCAGCAGTTTCCCAAACAGCCGACACATGATGAAAACCATTTAGTAAAGCTAGCACAACCAGCTACTGTTTGTATTATTTGCTATATATAGTATTTCATTAACTTTAATAACACACAACTTGCATTTAGATTTAATAATTTTTATACTAACCTGAATGCCTTGCACTATCTTCATGCCTCCAAGATCCTGTATACCAACAACTTGAAATATAGTTTTCCAATCTAATGGGATATTACATATACCAGAATCAACATAACATCTTGCATGAGAATCAAATGCAGTGTTTTCTATTTCTGAGCAAGTAGCTTTATCATTGTTATAGGTAGAAACTAGAGCATTTTGAAGACAAAGCATTGTATCTGTTACCTATTCATAATAAAATCCAATGAAAAGTATAAAAAGTTTAATATAATAATATTTATGCTTCCTAAATCAATTGTTTGTAAGTACCCATTTTTTTCCAGGGTCGTTAAACTGATTCAAGGCATTCAAAAATTTGTTGCAATTTTTGTCTCCATATTGAATTGGATAACTATTAGTTCCACAATGAAATTTATTTTCCAAACATTCTTTATAAAAATTGCAAGTATTCACTTTTGGGCTATTACAAATTGAAGTAGTTACAGCATTTGAAGTTTCAGTTTTAGTAGCGACCTGCCCAAATACAGGACATATCATAAAATAAAGAACAAAAACTGAAAAGATAATTGAATAAAATTTTGGTTTCATGACGACCAGAATAAGATGAGAATCTTAGACAGTAAAAAAAATGACAGTTTAAATAAAAAGCATCTATCGATTTTATTTTATTAACCAGCCT